CGTCCCAGTCCATTTCTTTTACCTCTGCTGGCTTGGCAAGCGACTTTGCCATTTTAAACACGGTTGGCCCACAATGCGTTAGAAAGATAGCTCTCTTTTTGCCGGTTGTTGCATCTTTCAAATTGTTAGTTTCCAGAAACATCTGGAACCGATCCATGTAGGCCTCCCAGTCTTCGGTCTCTGGATTGAATGGAGCGGGTGGTACGGCACCGCTGGCCATGTTGCCGTTGATGGTGCGTGTTTGACCACGTGCTCTGTAGGTTGCTCTGTAGGTTTAGTCAGCTCTTCGGTCTCCGCATCCCATCCTCGTCGCCAGTGTTAAGTTTGGAGAATAAGGAGACCAGACATCTGACCAGTGACTTCAACTCTTTAATAATAACAGGAATCAGAATGGAACAGAGCAATACTATGGGCAGCAGTAACCCTTTTATAGGGTTAGCTGCTGCCTTATTAACCAATGAAAATGTGCAACAGGTTCCAACTACTGACCAATAAGGACAGTCCCAAAAGTGGCCAATCAGGGACTGGTTCTGGCCCAATCCCAAGTTGTTGTATAAGGACCAATCAAGTGTGCAGGTTTTCAACCCCTAATTTGCATTTAGGTTATTCACTTTTATTGATTCACAACAATTATACCCAAAATAAAAAGTGAAAACATGAAAATATATGTGAGTTTGATACAGGCATGCAAAATAATTAAGACAGGGTAACCAAAGAAAGATCCATCAAATCACTATGCAATACAATTTGAAAGCAGCATGAAATAATGATTTAATCCAAAGGAAAGAAGAAACGGAGGAACCTCATTTATCTCAGATATGAGTTTCACAATAGGGATTGTACTAAGAAGACCTAATACTCATCAATGCATTTTAAGATGTGAGCTTATGATAACAATTTTAAGTTCATATGAAGGGATAGAATTCTTCAGAAGCCCAGCAATGAAGTATTAAGGTTTTGAAAATCATGGTAGCAAGGCCTAGCTGTTGCACTATACGCTAGCAACAGGTTTTGGTTGGGTGTAATTCAGGGGTGGGATTCAAATTTTTAACAACCGGTTCTGTGGGCATGGCTTAGTTGGGGGGGGCGTGGCTTGGTGGTCATGTGACTGGGTGGACATGGCTTAGTGGTCATGTTATTGGCAGGGTGTGGCCAACTCAATCGAGGCACGCATCTCCTCGCCTGGCCTCTCATGACTGTGGGGATGATGCAACAGTTGTAAGTGTGAAAAATGGCCATGTCACTTTTTTCAGTGCCATTGTAACTTTGAATGGTCACTCCACACAAGCAAAGTACCAGCAAAGGAGGGGAAAAAAAACTCCAGAGAAGTTCCTGAGACAGGAAGTCTAGTCCTGCCAAGAATGTAATAAGGGTTAACGGAGAGGCAGTTTCTGTAAGCAACACCAGCATGTTTCCTTTCTGCCTTCCTTACAGGATTAGGCCAGTAATTTCTTCTAATAACCAGTTCTCCAAACTGCTTAGAATGTTAACAACCGGTTCTAGAGAATAGGTGCGAACTGGTAGAATCCCACCCCTGGTGTAATTCCACTTTTTCTGTATTATTACTTTACTTGTTACACTTTTATCTTGTCTTCAATAGGTGGTGAACTTACCTAATATTCCATTTTCCTTCTGTTTTCCTGTGAGATGAGTTGGGATGAAAGACAGTGACTAACCCAAGATCACTCTGCAGCTTTCTTGGCTAGAGCAGGACTAGAACTCAAGTCTCTTGGTTTCTAGGTCACCATCTTTAATCATTACACCAAACTGCCTTTAAACTCTTACTTACATTATTCTAGAACAGGGGTCTCCAAACCTGACAACTTTAAGTCTAGTGGATTTCAATTCCCAGAATTCCTCAGCTACCATAGCAACTATGGAGAATTCTGGAAGTTGAAGTCCACAAGTCTTAAAGTTGATATGTTTTGAAACCTCTGTCCTAGAATTATATCAATAGAATCACCTTTCTGTCCCATTAACCCAGCCAGCATTTCACCAAACTTGTTAGATCATTAGGTATATTCAGAAAACTCAGCCTTTTAGGATTGACCAATTTCATAGTTTCCTGAGCCCTGCAAACATGAAATGGCACATTGACGGTGCCATATTATTATCAGTGTTTTATCTGGTATACTCTTACAGGTGAAACTCAAAAAATTAGAATATTGTGCAAAAGTTCATTTATTTCAGTAATGCAACTTAAAAGGTGAAACTAATATATGAGAAATATGCAAAGCAAGATAGTTCAAGCCATGATGTGTCATAATTGAGATGATTATGGCTTACAGCTCATGAAAACCCCAAATCCACAATCTCAGAAAATTAGAATATTGTGGAAAGGTTCAATATTCTAGGCTCATTCTAATCAGCTAATTAAGCCATAACACCTGCAAAGGGTTCCTGAGCCTTTAAATGGTCTCTCAGTCTGGTTCAGTAGGAATCACAATCATGGGAAAGACTGCTTACCTGACAGTTGTGCAGAAAACCATTGTTGACACCCTCCATAAGGAGGGAAAGCCTCAAAAGGTAATTGCAAAAGAAGCTGGGTGTTCCCAAAGTGCTGTATCAAAGCACATTAATAGAAAGTTATGTGGAAGGGAAAAGTGTGGAAGAAAAAGGTGCACAAGCAGCAGGGATGACTGCAGCCTGGAGAGGATTGTCAGGAAAAGGCTATTTAAAAGTGTTGGGGACTTTCACAAGGAGTGGACTGAGGCTGGAGTCAGTGCATCAAGAGCCACCACACACAGACGGATCCTGGACATGGGCTTCAAATGTCGTATTCCTCTTGTCAAGCCACTCCTGAACAACAAACAATGTCAGAAGCATCTTACCTGGGCTAAAGAAAAACAGAACTGATCTGTTGCTACTGATGAGAGCAACTTTTGCATCTCATTTGGAAACCAAGGAGCTAGAGTCTGGAGGAAGAATGGAGAGACACACACTGCAAGATGCTTGAAGTCCAGTGTGAAGTTTCCACAGTCTGTGTTGATTTAGGGAGCCATGTCATCTGCTGGTGTTGGTCCACTGTGCTTCATTAAGTCCAGGGTCAACACAGCCATCTACCAGGAAATTTTGGAGCACTTCATTCTTCCTTCTACAGACAAGCTTTATGGGGATGCTGACTTCATTTTCCAGCAGGATGTGGCACCTGCCCACACTGCCAAAAGCACCAAAAGTTCATGGTTCAGTGACCATGGGATTACTGTGGGATTAATCCCATGGTTCAGTGACCATGGGATTACTGTGCTTGATTGGCCAGCAAACTCACCTGACCTGAACCCCATAGAGAATCTATGGGGCATTGCCAAGAGAAAGATGAGAGACATAACACCAAACAATGCAGAAGAACTGAAGGCCGCTATTGAAGAATCCTGGTCTTCCATAACACCTCAGCAGTGCCACAGGCTGATAGCTTCCATGCCACGCCACATTGAGGCAGTAACTGCTGCAAAAGGGGCCCAAACCATGTTTATGCTTACACTTTTCAGAGGTCCGATATTGTCCTATGTACAATCCTTGTTTTATTGATTGCATGTAATATTCTAATTTTCTGAGATTGTGGATTTGGAGTTTTCATGAGCTGTAAGCCATAATCATCACAATTATGACAAATCACGGCTTGAACTATCTTGCTTTGCATGTAATGAGTCTATCTCATATATTAGTTTCACCTTTTAAGTTGCATTACTGAAATAAATGAACTTTTGCACGATATTCTAATTTTTTGAGTTTCACCTGTATATTTAAGTGAAGTTTAAGACTTTATCTTTCCTGGCAACAACAATCCTATGAAATTGATTAGGATGATGCAAAGCCATGAGCTACTGAAGAGAGGATTTTTAGATTGAACCTAGAACTCCCCTGAATCATTCAGGGGACATAATTATTACCTTTATAATGTTTGATATCCATCTGGCATAATCAACAGCTGTCCTTGGCTATTCTACAATTCTTGCCCTATCGTTTATCCCACTTGCTTCATGTTTCAATTTCCTTGTTCATTTTATCTTGATTCCTCCTTCTGAGTTGGTTGCCTTTTAAAAATAATCTGAAACCTGCTGCTCTGTTATATAAATGGAAAATATGCATGTGGCTCTGCCGTTCTTTGCACTGTATTCCTAAAATTTGGTTGAACATTTTTAATAATTTAAAGCTTAAATTGAACCAACCAAATGGAAAAGAGCCCACTCCTGAGAATATGTGATGTCCCTTGGACATATCTTCTATGGCTCTCAAAGTCAAATGATCTATTATAATCAATTATGTAGCTCAACAACAGAAGAATAATAGCATATGTGGGATTAGACTTTTAAATCTACACTTGGTAGAGAAACTAAGAATAGGAAAGAAAAGGACAAAGAATGGAATATAAAATAAAGTATTGTATATAGCATTGGGATTTGTATTCAAAATGGAAGCATGTTTTCAGCTTAAAGTTCAAATTAGTTGAGATAGCCTTTTCTGACCTCCATTTTCCAGATGGCTGGAACCCAGCAATCAAACTTTTGGGTTTTTGGATGCTACTATTTAGATAGGTAGTTGGAGCCAATGAATGAATTACTTTATTCAGTAGTGAAATAATGAGATGTTGAATCTTGCCTCTCTTCTCTCCTATGAAATGCAACACTACTTCTAAAATATGAACTCGGTGTCTTAACAAAAGACAACAAAGATCATGTAGTTAAAAGCATTTTTATGATTAATGCTTTTTATTAACCATTTCTTATATTTTTGTTGTTTTTTCCTTTTTCTGGAGGATAAACCATGCTTTGTTGTGCTTTTTGCATGTGCTATGTCACTACATGGAGGAATAGAAAGCTGAGCACTAGATTCCATTTAAATGGGGGGGGGGGGGGGGTGATTAGGCCTGAAAACTATATGGGTGTATGCTGTGAAAACCAATCAAAGTTTTTGTAATTTTCTGAAAAATACGTAACAAGAATCTAGGCAGCACTTTATAACATAGCTGGGAAAGAAAAAGAAATCACTGTGCAACTTACCACTTCTTCATGTGTAGCACCTTCTACACTTATGCCGTTAACCTAAACATCATAAAGGGATTATTTGAAACATTAGGAAAATAATATGAAGCATTTAGTATAAGCATTAACAAGTAACATACTTTACAGTAAGTGTATAGAATCAACTGACCTGTATTACGGCATCTCCAATAAATAGCATTCCTGACTGGTCTGCTGCAAAATTATAAAAAAAATTACAAATTACTTGAGAGACTTAAAATGGTTTATGCTGCTACAAAATTGTTGTTTTTGTGAAAGTTGTTCCTGAAACAGCATCACAATAATTCAATAACTGAAAAAATGGTATCGTTTCTAATAAAATTATGAAAGCTTCTTTTCATTAACAAAAGATTATCCTTTAAGAACACAATTATGGTTTCTCACTAATGATAGATTTCATTAAAATATGAAGGAAGCATGATTCTTATTTTTTAACAGCATTGGTAATATCGCAAAGTAGGAATTCTGCTTCATTTCTTCTTCCTGAAAATATGTCCATAGAATGTAAAAATCAAAGGAGATGCGGTAGGAATTTAATTAAGTGTGAACTTGAATCCAGTCCACCAAAGTATTAGTTCAGCTCATAATTTGCATCGTTTCTGCAAAATATTGTGAATGCCAACTCATAGTGTACTGAAGAAGCATAAACTGCTCTACTACTTATTGAAAGGATAACACTCTTGTTTCATAGGCTACATCATATGAATATAAATTTCCATGTCTTTAAATATTTTTATTGAATATTTCTATAATTGGGAAGGGAATGAATTATTGAAAGCTAAGACGGTCAGTTATTATCTGTGAAGAATAAGTGGGATATGTAAAAGTTTTAGTAATTGGAAATTTCTACACAAGTTAGAGACAAAACTATATTGTATTATTATTTATTGAGATGATATACAGCCCATATTTTGCTCAAGTGAATCAGGACCATTTACAAGAATTAAAAACACAGACCCACAATGTATAACCCCTGAGGCCCAAGGATAAACCATATCACTTGCAAAAAGCATAACAACAACACAGCGTATCTACCGACTTAAATGCCTGAGCAAACAGATTTTCAATGCCTCGTGACAGCTTAAAGAGTTGGGCCATCTGAATATCCAGGGTGTTGCTGTTCCATAGAGTAGGGGCTGACATTGTCAAGACATGACTCTGGAGTCCAACAAGATGGCCTTGTTTAGAAGGACCCTGGGGCATGCTTTATTAGCTGTGATGGGGAAAAAGTTGAAACTTTTGGGAGAAAAGCAACCCCATAAATAGTCTGGCCCTATGCCATGGAGGGTTTTATAGGTGATAACCAGTATCCTGAATTGCACTGGGAAACTTACTGGGAGCCAGTGCAGCTCATAGAGATAAGGTTTATTGTGGTACAAAAATGCCAAAAATTGCCCATATTGCTGCATTATGGATAGCTGCACCTTCTGAGTGTTCTTCAAAGCACAGCACATCTCTCTTTTTTTTTGTGCCCTGCACCTTTCCTCCCTGTGCCTTCTCTATATCCTAACAGATGTTGCAGTTTCAATTATCCTGGGCATGGTGAGGAAGGCTAAATATCTGGATTCTGTCCTCTAGGTTGAGCAACTCCCAGAAAACTTCGGGTAGTTACCTGTTCAATTACAGCAGGAAAAAAAATTACCTGAGAATTGCTACATCCACACTGAACAGCAAGCATCCAAATGTCTGAATGGTATTTAACAACTAAGTATAATGTTTCTATTTGATTGAAATGTTTAGCAGAGTTTCCATTCTTTATCTTTTGAAAAACTGGAGAGGACATGTTTCAGTACAGACTCTGCAGTTGCTTAACAAAAGGGACAAATGATCTGTGTGTATAGATTACAGATGTAGATTATAAATGTATCTGTATGTATACATGCAGGATGAGGAACTTTTTATTTAAGATTTACATGACCAATCATTTATGAGTTGCTGCTTTTATTTTGAGGAAAACAAGTACATTCTGTACTGTCTGGATGGCAGGGATTTATAATTAGTGCCCTCTATAAAAAGATTGCTCTTTATTGTTCTTTTGCTTTGATTTTCTATATAAAGAATATTTTTCCTAAACATTTAAAAAAATGGAGAAAATTATAATCCAAATAACATTAGTAAGGTTTAAACCAACTATCTCACAGGAAAATGACTACAACTGAACATATAATAAAAGCTAAGCTGCATTGTCACTAATGGTTAGCAATTTGCTGTTCCCTTGTAGTTAAAACTACTACGAATATTGTTGTAATGTTCTAATGTGAATGCTTGAGTGTTTTGTAGCTAAAATGGCAAAATAAATAAAGATAAGCAAAGAAAGCAACTGAAGCTGTTACACCAAATCATATAACCTTCAGCAGGCATATGATAGAATATAGGGCTCCTCTCTTAATCACTAGGATATTATTTTTCTTTTATTGTTTATTTGTTCTTAACCCACCTTTATTATTTTTACAAATAACTCAAGGTTATTTGTGGATATTTAAACATATCCATCAACACAACTTCATCCTCCTCCTACTTTCTCCACCACAACAACAATCCTGGGAGGTGAGCTGGGTTGCAAGAGAGTGTGCGTGGCCCAAAGTCACTCTGCTGGCTTTAATGGCTAAGGCGGGACTTGAACTCATGGTCTCTTGTTTTCTAGCCTGGTGCCTTAACCACTACACCAAATTGGCTTGTGTTATCAATATACAGCAATATGTTGAGTTATACAGATAGTCCTCCTTTAATGATTGCCTCTTTTAAAGACTGTTGGGAGTTATGATGGTGTAAAAAAAACACCTAGCTTTGCAACCAATCCTCATATTTATGACTGTCACAGCATCACACAATCACATAATCATCACTTGTGTGTTTCACAACTAAATCCCCAAAAGCAGAGTTAACAGAATATACTGAAGCAAGTTGTAAGTGATGTTGTAAGACTGCTATTCACTTAGCAGTTGTACACTGAACAACACAATTGCTGATCCCAACAGTGAGGACTACCTATTATTATTTGGGCAGAAACTTCCTGTAAGCTTTTTGTGATTATTTATGTATTTATAACTAAGTTATTGTGGGAAAGCTTAATGGCACTTTAAAAATCAAGCAAGCAAGCTTTCAAATCTGTAATAACATTTTTTAACATTTCAGTATTAATAGCGAGACAACAAAACAGAAGGTAAATTAGCCATCTGACTAATATATTCATAACATTTTACCTCATTCTTATGAATGACAAAACTGAATTATACTTTGGCTAGAAACAAATAATGGAATAATACTGGCAGAGGATACATATTTTAGTTCCCACTGATTGTAAGAAGACGATCCAAACTTTACTTTCTTGTGTCTAAACTTTGATTTCAAGAAATGTACTTAACTACTGTTGTTTATACCCCAATAGTTCCATCTTTTTCAGTAATGACACTTCCAGTTTGATTAGAAGCTTCCTAAAAGCTTGTTCCTAGTGTCTCACTCTGAAATCCTAACGTTTTAGACAGCAAGGGAAGCTTTCTTAAACTTGACAGGAATTGGTATGAGCGACAGAACTAGCAATCCTCCTCCTTCTCTTATTTCCCCACTTCCAATGTTTGCCTTCGCTCCACTTCAGTACCAGTGATGGATACAAGGCAGAACCGGTGATATAAGGATGTCGCAAGAGGGGATGGGACCATGTTCCTAGCCTGCTGATCTTTTGGTACTAGGAGAAATGTTACTTTTATGACCAAATTAGGTCTACTGGAGGTTTGACACACTCATCTGGACACATTAAAAATAATTTAAAAATCGTGTCACTGAATTCCAAGAGTTTAATTTGGTGTGGGTTCAGAGATCACTAAAAATGAATACCGGGAACTGCAACCATGAGGCACACTCTGGTTTTCTGGGAAAGCCATTATGCCTTCAATAGAGCTCAGAAATGGGGACGTTAGATATGGAACACAGAGTAACGTTGTGTTCATGTTCATTCTTTGCTTTTATCTGTATGACTAAATCTGCCTTTGGAAGGGTGCCACAGTGGCACTAATGAGGGAGATCCAGGATCTCTCCTAACCCCTTATATCACATCCCATCCAATTTCAGGCTATTCAAGTGAGACTAAAAGTGGGAATGAAGGTTTACCTGCCAGGAATACAGAGCGGCTTGTTCCACAGAAGGTATCACAGATTAATAGAATGATGTTCCTCTTGTGATTTCTTGCTACCTCTGGATAATGGAAAAACTCATGCTGCCAACCTGATCATTTTATTTTAAATGTACTTTATCTTGTAGCTGTGTCCTGTTTTTTCCCAGATGGCACATCAATCAAAACATAGCTTCACAGATTTTATTTTCAGCCTCGCAGTTAGTGTATTAGTACGGTGTTCAAATATAAGCTTACTGTAGCGTGTGATAAAATAGACGATTTGCAATACCAAAATATTAACCTGAAATAGCACTAAGGGAGAAAAGCAAGAAAGGATTAGGGATTTAAGTCCTTCAACGTAATAAACTCTGACCACACAATGGTGTACAAAGGACCTTCTTAAATGATTTATAAACTCCTAAAGCAATTGCAGTTTATTACACATATTCCACTCTTCCATTAGGCAGTCCAGCAGGGCTTACAAGGCTTCCCTGATCAAGACCACTGCCAAGGACAGGCCTACAAATTAGTTAAGGCCATAATGGACTCTAAAGCAATAACATATAAATGATAGAAATCCTACTTTCTCTGCATACACAAGACCACCATACTGTAGCTGATAAAGACCAGTTGTAATTTTCTGTGTGTGTGTGTGCACAAATGAACACACAGAGCCATTTTGAGACTCAAAAAAGGCATGACTCTACTGCAGTAAGGTAGAATAATCACATCTTTAAGGTTTCTTTGTGTCCTACCCAATGGTGGCATTCAAATTTTTTTACTACTGGTTCTGTGGGCATGGTGTGGCTTGGTGAGTGTGGCTTGATGGCTGTGGCTTGGTGGGTGTGGCAGGGGAATGATACTGTAAAATCCCCATTTCCAACCCACTCCAGGGGAAGGATACTGTAAAATCCCCATTTCCTCCCCACCCCACTAACCTGCTTTCCAGCTCTGTTCTCCTGTGCAGGGCAATAAAAGAAGACCCAGCTGATCAGCTGGGACTCAGGAGACAGCAAATAGATGGGGCCAGTCAGAGATGGTATTTACCAGTTCTACGAACTAC